GTGCCACTACTTATCAGAGATCTCTGCTCATTTTGTCTAACATTTTTCCAAAGACATGAGTAAAGGAAGATAAAAGGGGAAAGTTTTGTAGTAATGAAAAAGTTCTATCCATAAAGAAGATACAACATGTATTAAGCTTAATGCACCAAACAACACAACAGCAAGATACATAAAGCAGAAGCTTCTAAAAAAGATTTTAAAAACTTAATAATAAAAAAAAGACTCTAGAAGACCTTAACAAACTTGTCTCATATTTGACACATTAGTCAGGCAAAAGTACATGAAGGATATAAAGTATTTGATACCATCAATGAACATGCTTTAGAGATGAATATAGAATCGTGTGCCATACAGTTAGAATATATGTGTGTGTGTGTATATATATATATACACACACACACACACACACACGCACACACACACATATATATATATTCCTCTCATAGAAGTTACGCAAAAAAAATGATCATGTTTCTGGCTACAGGGGAAAGATAATAGATTCCAAAACTATTCCTTACTATAATATAATAAAACTAGAAACCAATATTTTGTACCTTTTAATAAACTGTCTTTTAAATAACTCTCAGATAAATTAAATTTTAAAAACCAACATTATAGATTATTTAGCCTACATCCTGATTGAAGATTTCAGATGTCAACAAAACTTGGAAGGTCACTGAATACACTAGAGGACCAGCTGAGACCCAATGGCATAGTGACAGGCTGGAAAGATGGATTAGAACCAGGAAATGCAAAATCTAACAGAATTCCATCTGAGCTGTTGCTCTGTATTAAAAATACCAATGGCAGAAGCATGCCGTGGAGGAGATATGATTCAGTAGTACCATCTTTAAAACAAAAACGATCACACAGAGTATGATTTAGAGACTTTAGTTGATGAATGGGTTCGGCATACATCAACTGTAATGTGTCTGCCAAGAAAAGTTAATGAGGTTTTAGGCTGTATGGCTAAATGTGCAGCATCTAGAACGAGAGAGGCAATAGTCCGCTCTAATCTACACAAATCATATTCATACACTGGGCATTCACTTTGGCACTCCCATAGCTTGAGAAAGATCGTTAGAGCCCATTTGAAGAAGTGTGAAGGGAATTGTAAAGGGACTTATAAAAAAAAATCCACGTGAGAGACACAGTTGGAGGAAGTGGAGAGGCTTGACCTGAACCCAAGGCGACTCTTTGAAGTCTTGATGCTGTTCTGAGATACATGAAAGGCTTTTATGCAGAAGAAGAGTAAGGTCATGAAAAGACAGGTTTCTGTGAGCCGGAATATCCCGAAGATGAAATAACTACTTAGAGAAACAGCAAGTTTCGTATCACTGGGGGTATTCTAACCTAGTGTAGTTAAGTACTTGATATGGTATTGTTGCAAGAATTTTAACACCGGAAAAACAGGTGGTTAGATCAGACAAACCTTCCAACTCTGAAATTCTTTAACTCCTACGGTATCTAGTATTCCCTCAAAATGGCCCATGAGCCTCTGCGTTTGGTACCCAAAATTGTCAATTAAGGTTTTATGGGTTTTTTGGCATTAACATTTTGAGTTCAGACCCTGTGGGTGACATAAATGCCTGCGTGTTTGTGACCTAATTGAGACAACATGAATCCAAATGAAACAGTTGTTCAGGACTATTTAAGATTAATTGTTAAATGATCCAATGAAGACATAAGCTGTCATCAGAGTTCAGAGAAGGGGTCATGAGTGTTGGAAGAGGTGGCAAAATCTTCACAGAGAAGACTTCGAAGTCTGTGTATGTGCATTAGGCAGTATAAGTGGTTTTAGAAATAGTGGCAACAAGGATGTATATGATAAGCAAAGATGATGCGTTGTCCCTTTCTCCTGACGGCAGAATGTGGCGAGCCTTGCCGGAACGTGACTCACCGTGTGTGCACGTCTGTTTAGTGTCTCTTGCCTCCACTTGCCACCGCTGCCCGCATAGCCACCTCGGGGCTCCTGCACACACAGGCTCATGGCTCTGCAGCTCCTGCTCACACACAGCCTGGGTCTCCAACGGATTGGCCTGACAGGCATTTTTATTGACTGAGCTGCTTCTTCTTCACCTTGCCAGTTGCATCAGGGTTTCCAAACACAGCAGGTCCTTGAAACCAAGACTCTCTTTCCCTTGGGTAGCACTGCCCTTTGCTCTCCACAGCCCATGATGATAATGACAACAGTAAATAATCCCTGACATTTACTGAGGGCTCTGTGGTTCTGACACTTTTTACATGCACTCTCGCTGGTTTGTTCTTTATGACAGTGTAGGCAGGAACATAGGCAGGCAGCACCCCAGGGTGTGCGGAAGTCAGAGCACTTACTCAAGGTCACACTGAGGAAAGGAACTGGCTCTGGGATCAGAATGCAAGTCTTCTCACCCCTGCACCGGTTTAGTGACGTGACTGGTGTGAACAGGACCTTAATCTTCCCCATTCCTGGGATGAGTGTGTTCTAGCCCAGGCTTGTCAGTCAGTCAAGCCTGGAAAGTCTCACTGCAGGCCAGCTTTCCAAAAGTGTGGTTCCATATGCGAGTCTGGTTGGGCCCAGGATCTCTGATGCCCACCTGGAATCCCAGGGCTTCTTTGCAATGGGTCCAGCCTACGTGAGTGAGGGCTAGGAGGAGGCACTCTTCAAAGACTGTATCTTTCTGCCAGTTATTTTTTTTAGTGGTTTGTAAAATAACTTAATTCACATATGAGCAAGCTGGTACATGAGCATAAAAAACACAGAGTGTGTTAATTCAATCAATAAAACGTAGACCACATTTAATTACATTACAGAATTAATTCCCTGCATGGTTATTAGAAATAAATAGTAAGCCATTTAGATGAATAACTTTATATGAATTGCTTTAGCAGAGCCAAATCAATGTTTAAGTTTCTCTCATCTTACTTTATTAGTTTTACAGTATTTATATAGCTGGAATCTCTGTCTGAAGTTTTCCTTGATATCATTTACCATCTAGCATCTGAGTTTCTTCAGACACAGGAAGATAATTCTAGGGACCAAGAGAAAACATCTCGCTTTCTGAAACGTCTTTCAAACTGTGTCTCTTTCTGTCACTGAAGTAGCAGGGTCAATAGCATGAACCTTTTCCTTACTTTCCCTCCAAGGTTTTATTTCAATTCTTATGAATTAGCTCAGAGCAAAAGTAACAATCCCAGACATCTGTCATTTAACAATAAGAGATTTCTTACTCTTAGCCAAAAAGAGTAAAGGATGCGGGACATATCCATAAAGACAGGGTTCCAGCTTGTGGAAGTCTGAGAGGACTGTTGTCTCTTGCTGAGAACTGTCATCTCTTGCTGAGCCCACTGGGGGCCATTATTGTACAGTCACTCAAAATCAAGTTTCTCGTCTTGAGGGTACAGCCAAGCAAGAGAACTCCAGGGCTGTGCCCTGTGATGAATGATCCTGACCATGGAGTCTTGCACACTGTTCCTTTGTCTGGGTCAGATTTGTGGTTTCTGTAAAGCTGGAAGGTTGCCAATCAAAATGGCTTCTGTTCATTGTTCACCTGTGCACATGGTGAAAATGCTCTCCCAACAGGTAGCAAGTGAGAAAGGGGCAGAAATTGGGCTGTGGCAAAGCCTTGGGCAGCAAAGAAAATCTGGTCCTGGATTGGAGGCCCAAGTGGACACGGGAGGTAGGGGTTAAAGTGATGGAAGGCTCAGGGGAATAAATGTATTCCCATCCTTTATGTTTAGTTCAGAAATCTTCCTAGTACCTCTTAAAACCAGGGCTGTTTCCTCAATTATTGAAGTCTTTTAAAGAAAGGGCACGGTAGGCTTGCCATCATTTAAGTTTAGAAGGGCAGGGCCCAAATTTGTGTGTGTGTGTGTGTGTGTGTGTGTGTGTGTGTGTGTGTGTGTGTGACTGTGTGTGTTGCATGTTCACAACAGGCCTTGAGAGCCACATTAGCCTGTTCAAGAACCTGGAGTTTCCTTAACACGATGGAGAGAGGGTAGGGAGTAGGGGCCACAGAGAGGCTCTTTCACTGCATGGTCAGCAAACAAGGTATGAAAATGCCATTACCTGGGAATGTTAATAATTTGGAATGCTAACTCCCAGTTTCAGTTCAATGCCAATAGTAGGTTTTCCTATTTGAATTTGGAGGGGCATTAGAAGGCGGATGTATCATGAGGAGGGAGGGGGAAGCAGAAGGGATGACCTGCAAACTCCATGCCCATGGCTGTGTTTGTCTTCATGGCTGTATAGAAGCAGAATGCCTAGGTACTCATTTTCTGGCCTGCAGGGCTCTTCAGAGTGGGGAGAGGATGCTGAGAAGAACAGTGGGAATCGGGACATATCATTGTCTTCGCCATCCTCCAAGCAGCCTCGCCTGCTCACACGGTCTGTGCCCTGGAGCCTGAGATGGCACGGGCACTAGACAGTGTGCCCTTTGCTTTTGGTGGGGGGTGTGGGAGCTCTCATCGTCATCATCACGGAATCTCTTGAGTCTCATGAGAAACATGGATCGCACAAGCGCAAGCATACAGGGAGCGTCCTCTGACAGTGTCAGGAGGTCCTGATGTAGACAGCCAGAGAGAAAGCATGTAAACAGGGACAAGATAAACCAGGAAACTGAACAGGAAAGAAACCCACACAATGCAACTTCATGTAGTCTCCGAGTGTGGGGATCAGTGGGAACAGGCATGATACGTCTGGCAGAGGCCTGTGGGCTTGTGTTAAGGTAAAATAGAGGGAGATGGTACAGGGAAGCTTCACCAAGGAACATAGGGATCTTCTAGGAGTGATGGCTGGTGGATGGGAGGAGGAGAGGCCACATGAAGCCTACCTTGCAGGGGTAGGTCCCACAAGACCTCTCTGGTCTGCAGCCCTTGTTGGGTTAGCTGATCCTGTAGCCTTGGCTACATGGTCACCCCCATACCTGGGGCTGCAGAGTGGGGGACTGGTGTCTGAGTTCCAAGAACTGCCACTGTGGGATAGGGGAACCTCAGTGCAGACTCTCCTTTTGCCACTGTAGGAAAATTGCGGCTTATGATGAAGAAATCCAGCATCTCTATGAGGAGATGGAACAACAAATCAAAAACGAGAAGGAGCAGTTTCTTCTGAAGGTAGGTGTGCACTTCCCAGGCTTGCGTATCTGCTCTGTCTCCCCCAAGTTCAAGATTGCGGTGCCCCCATCCATGCACTCTTCATTCCCTCTTCCTCTGCCATATGTTTTTCTCAAGGCATTTATCACCTTCACACAGGACATGTAATATCCTTGTTTATTTTCATTGACTTGTCTGTCTCCCCCTGCTAGCATGTAAGTTGCAAAAGAGCAGAGATTTTATCTTTTATTAACTAAGATATTCTTAGCACGAAGGCAATGCCTAGCACGTACTAGGTGCTCAACAAATATTTGTTAAATGAATGGATGGATGGATGGATGAAGGCTTATGCTTTCCCTATTAAGTTTGGTCTGACATTAGTTATTCCTAGATTAATATGGCAGGCCCATCCAAGTGCACCAGCCCAGTTTATCCTATGCCCAGCAGCTTCCCCTAAGGCGACGAGCCTTAGAGGCTGTGCTACCCATCCTTTACCACTAGACACCTGGAAAATTTAATAGCCAAGAAAAAACAAATCCCACCTTCCACAGATACCATGGAGGGAGTGGGTAACTCCTTCCCCTCTTCCTCGCCTGATTCTTAGCCCCTTACCCAGCCCTGCCATTTGTCTCAAGAGGTCAGGACTGGTGAAATCCACTTCTTTGCCAAGGTAAGCAGGATCCTTCTTGGAATATGTTCATAAAACTAAATTGAAAAAAAAAAAAAAAAAGCTTCAGAGAACTCTCTAGTACCCATTTTTGGATGATCTGCTTGATGGGTTCTCAGCAGAAAAGGCTTTGATCTTGGATGGCAGCTTCCCTTGCCTCTCAGCACTAAGCCTGGCTATTATCACAACCCTTTCTCTTGAACCAATTTTAAGTTTTATGCTGCCTCAGATTATCGACATCACTGCTCCATTTATTATCACGGATGTCATTCAAACTGAGAGGGAATCAGAATCCTTTTCATGAAAATCTGGTCATGTCCTCCAACTAGCGCCCTCTGGAGGCTCATCAGCATTTCCAGGCCTCCTCTGTCTGGTCAAGCCTGAAAACATTCCGCCTGCTCCTGCCCCTCAACCTAGTTGATGGCAGACAGAACTCACACACTTCTCACCAGCAGACCCCAAAATAGTTTCTGAGAACAGTAGCTCCCCACCCCACCTCCCTGCTGTAAGAGAGCCACCCCCTTTATCACAAATGACATCCTGCACAGAGAGGCTGAGCTCCACGGGGCATCTGGTCCCCTCCGCCTGGATCATGATTACAGGTCAGAGGTCCTAGCTAAAGGAAAAGACATGATTTCAGAAGCAAATGCTGGGCCAGGGCATGGCGATGGGTGAGAGGAGAGGTCAGAGACAAAAGATTCAAGGACAAGTTTGCATCACTGCAGGTGATCCAGCCTCCCGTCCTCTTCTGCTTCCTCCTTCTCCCTTCTTGATACCAACGCCATTAAAGCTCAGTGCTTAGATTTATGCTTTCTGCGTGAACATGAAAACTGCTCAGATGTTTTTGCAGCACTATTAAGCCGTTGGATACAAAGGCTTTTGCTGGTGATAGATCAAGGATAGTGGTGCCACAGTTTCTGACATCATGGAAAATTCTGGACCCTCGGACCAGAATCTGGATCCTGGCTTGACACTTATCAGATTGTTTGACCATGAAGGGAGTACCTTATCACTTGCACCTTCCAATCCCCTCAACGCCCTGTCCCGGCCCTTTGTGAGGACACTCTGCAGGCCCATTGTGGGGACAGCCACATCAGCCTGGGGATTCTGGAGCTGCTCGCTGCTCCCAGCATTTTTCACGGAGAGCAGCAGCCAAGCTGAAGGAGGCAGATTCCCTGGGGCTGATTCTCTGGAAACAAATGTTGGGAGCAGGTGCTGTCTGGTCAGATAGTACCTCTGCCACTCATGTGGTTCACATGAGGATAATCACAGGCTGTCCCTGTGGTTCTTCCGCCCATGTACCTGCCTAAAAATGGGCAGGAGAACCTGGTAATATCAACAGAGGATGCAGAGGTGTCCGAAGGCCTCCGGCCCGAGAGGGCCATGTTCCACTGCCGTGCTGCTGCAGACTGTCATGCCAGGACACCCTTCCAGCGCAGCATTCCATGTGGGAAGGAGTCATTCTGTATCACAGGAACCCCAGGTGGGGCTCTGTGAGTGAGTTATGTGGCAATTACAATGGTCTCTTCTCTTCTTGCACATTTTGTACCTCCATTCTGCCTTCAGGCAAGTGGAGTGCTGCAGATGGCATGGGTATTTTTGTTTCTATTCTGTGAACAAACAGTGATCCAGAAGAATGAAGCAAGTTAGTTGGGTGAAGCCAGGGCTTAGAGCCCAAATTGTGTCCCTCCTGGCTCGGGGCCCTTATGCCACAGACCTGGCTCTGCTGAGAGCATCAGGCACCCGACGGCCCACACACTTTCCTCCTCATCCCACAGCCAGGCCCCTTCTCACCTGCTTTAGCCCCTCTGTGTGGGGGAAGCCCAGCCTAGGGAAGAAGCAGGTATTAAAATATCCTGAGGAGCGGGGCCTGGGAGACTTCAATCCCAGTGGGAAAATAGTGAACACTTAGACCCTCAAGAGGAAGAGGTAATGGCCCTGTGTTTCCAGAGTGAAGCCAGTCGCAGGCATCCAACGGCAGTGCCCAACCCCACCTGGAACAGAGTATCCAAGTCGGAAGGCCTGCGAGGGGTCGTGTGCCTCCTCCAGCCACCCCCAGTGTGCACATGAGGAGACTAAGGCCTGATATTTGAACTCAGGCCCCAGTTATCCCTGTTCAGTGTTCCACCGCTGGCTGATACTGTCCCTGTTTTTGGTGGAGAGGAGGGTGGCGGTGCACAGTCATCAGACGTGCCACGCTTGCTGTGCGTTGGGATCACGCCTCACTGTTCGCACGATCTGTCTCGTTTGGTGCCTCCTGGTGGGGCAGGCAGGCTACCCAAGCCCTGTATTGCTGTGGGAGAAGCCCACAATCTAATAGGATGGGGCCTGATCTTGAGTAAGTTCCAAGTGGGAAAAAAACAGTCTATCATCCAGGTGTGCTACATTTGGGTCCCATGTATCCCTCTTTCCAACTTGGCAGGACACAGAGAGGTTTCAAGCCCGCAGTCAAGAGCTGGAGCAGAAACTGTTATGTAAGGAGCAGGAGCTGGAGCAGCTCACCCAGAAGCAGAAAAGGGTATGTTGCTGCCAGTGGCCTCAGAGTACCTGGCTGTCCACCCCGTCCTTTTCTCTGGCTGTTGCCCACTTTCCCTGCCATTCACCTAAGGTCTTGATTTTTTTTCTTAACCTGGAAAGAACTATTTAGCTGTACAAAAGATAGCATTTAAAATCACAGGTGATACCAAGATAAAGCCTTTACTTCTCCGAAGCCAGGTGTTTAACTTGGAAAAGTTGCCAAGCATTCTCCCAAAAGGTATCTGCAGACACGTTCCTATAATTATACCCAGGAGCCATGAGAATGCCAAACTTGAATTTGTTTCCTGCTTCTTGTATAAGAAAAGAGGAGAAAGCTGAGGTACAAGAGACATTGTCTACCACGATACTTTGGGGGAGGCTGCAGATATGTTTTTTTCTCTCCAGAATGGTCATGGATACCTCCTCTGGAACAGGCTCTTCAAGGTCAGCCTGTCTCTTCCCTGGCTGTGCAGTGCCTGGACAGGTTCATCAGCATCCTTTGTGGCTGCTCTGATCCCCGCAGGGATGCAGACACCAGATGCTCCTCTCTGATGTACCTGAGCCTCCAGGAGGCAGGCTGGGTGCTGCGCTCTGCAGAGCGGTATCCCTCTGGCTGGGAATGACTGGCTAATGACCCCAGAAAGACTGACTGCCTAGGCAAGCCTCATACTTAATGGCATCCACTTCTTAGCAAGAGCTCCTGAGGGAGACAGACCTGGTTGCCACTGGCCTCCTGTTTTGTTGTGCCTGGTGCTGGAAGGAATCCAGCTCTGGACAGACCCAGACACATTGCTTCCCTTTCAATAGACAAGGCCATTTTTAGCAGCACATTAAAATCTACTTGAAGACAGCCCTGCTAGGACTAGAGACTGTTCCACTGTTGCCGCCACCCAAGCTATGAATTTAGGTCTCTTTCCTTCTGCAGCAAGATGATCTCCACTCTGGGAACTGCCGGCTGCCTCCGCATTTCCCCATCCACAGTTGTACCTTGCTTCTCCCACTTCTTCTCTTCCCCTCTATTATGCATTAAGCTCCTAGCAATTAGATTTATCCCTCAAATGAATGATTGCCACTCGATTTAATTACTGCATGCTTGCCTGATTACACAGAAGCCTCTTGAGAATCACACCAAATTCCTTGTTGTTACTTCTTCCTCCCCTTACTGGCCACATTCATTAAACTAAATTTATTATGATACATGTACCTTGGTTTGATTCGTCTTCTGGTAAGAGAATTGGAAGCTCTGCAAAGCATAATCACAGCCAAGAAAAGCTGAAGCTATAAAAATGCAGGGCTTTTAGTTGCTTTAGGGACATAGAGAAGGTCTGTGTTCTGTTCGACCTGTTTTAGTTATTTCCTAAGAATTTTCAGGGCTTCTGGCTACCCTTAAAAGCTTCTCTAGATTAATGGAAGTGGAGCTGAGAGGAGAAAAGGGAATATATAGATTTACTATCAGCGCGTGAAATTGGGAAGGATGGTTTTATGAAGCAGGCCATTTAGCTGTTCCCCATCTCCATCAAGGACCAAGGAAAAGAAATTGACTTAAAAGTCAACAAGATGGGGCTGGTTGCGGTGGCTCACGCCTGTAATCCCAGCACTTTGGGAGGCCGAGGTGGGTGGATCACGAGGTCGGGAGTTCGAGACCAGCCTGACCAACATGGTGAAACCTCATCTCTACTAAAAATACAAAAATTAGCTGGGCGTGGTGGTACGTGCCTGTAGTCCCAGCTACTTGGGAGGCTGAGGCAGGAGAATTGCCTGAACCTGGGAGGCGGAGGTTGCAGTGAGCCAAGATCGTGCCACTGCACTCCAGCCTGGGCGACAGAAAGACTTCATCTCAAAAAAAAAAAAAAAGGTCAACAAGATGGATTTAGGTGAGATCTCAAGGCCATTCACACAGATGGATTGTGGAAGTTCCTTTGCTAGTGGTCTTTTTGAATAGAGCAGCTCCTCCTGGACTATTTAGTGGTCCTATGCAGAGTCAGGGGAGAGACAGGATGTGCTCTGAAAGCTCCTTCCTGCCTAGAGGAGTGTATATGTGTGAACTGAGGAGAGGACAATGCTGATTTACGCTTGAGGCCAGTGAGGGGTGGCAGTGACAGTTCCTGCCTGCCAAGTGGGGAAAGCAAGGTGAGGCCAGGGCAGGCCTCCTGAAGATGGTGGTTGCTCCTCATTCCCCTCTGCTCCCCATTCCTTTGCAGCTGGAAGGTCAGTGCACAGCCCTGCATCATGACAAGCATGAGACCAAGGCTGAGAATAACAAGCTGAAACTCACTAACCAGGAGCTGGCCCGGGAGCTGGAGCGGACCTCCCAGGAGCTCCAGGAAGCTCAGCAGCAGCTGGAAAGCCTCCAGCAAGAGGCCTGCAAACTCCACCAGGAGAAGGAGATGTGAGTCCAGCCTTTCTCCACTCCTCTGCTGTCCTCTAGCACCACCCCCTACTATGGGCATGTCCCCTTGCCACTCATGTCTCCTTGCCTGTGAAATGTAGATTTGGGCTTCTTGTTCCCTGAGACTCTTCTAACGTTCTTCTAGGATTCTGACACTATTGGAATCAGTTCTGTGTAGACTGATTAGACCAGTTCTGTGTCTGGCACTGCCTAGGATTGACAAGAAATGTATAGCCCTGTTCTCAGAAGATACATTCTGTGATTAGAAAGACATGCTATTCCACAAACAAATGTAAGGCAGTCTGTGGGCGAATGCTGAGTGAGCAGACAGACCCTAGGTGACTGTCGTCATGAAGAGACAAGGGGGACGAGGGGGAGGGAGGAAGGCTTCTGGGATCAGCATATGATCTGACGGAGCATGTGTCGCTGCCCTGGACTCTCCTCTCCATCTCTGCCCATTTTTTTCCACTGTGTTCCTCAGATTCAGCTCTGTGGGTCCATGGGGGGAAACTCCACATCTCTTAGGGCCCAACCTGCAAGTGGCATCCAGCCACAAGGGTTCACTTACTAGGCAGAGGCACACCTGTGGCCGGATCAAGCCTGGGTCTGCCCCTTAAGCTGGAGAAATCCCTGAAGAGTCAGTCATTTATCTTGTCTTGGGAGTCGTGGGTTTTAGAACAAATGTACTACTCTGAGGCTCAGGGCACAGAAATCTCATTTGTTTATTTGTGCATTCATTTATCCATATAGTCAATGACTTATTCATTCGGCAAACATTTATTCTGTGCTAGGTACCGTGCTGGGCATTCAATATATCTCACTTATGTTGATAATTTGACATCTTCTCATTTGATCTTTAAATCATCCTGGTGTGGCAGGTTCTGTTATTACGAACTCTTATTTATCGAGGAGGAAACTGAGGTTCACAGGTTTAAGTAACTGTCCTGAGATGCTAAGAGTTAGACCCATCTCGCCAATTTTCCCTAGAGAACAACAAGCCTGCAGAAAATATTTTAACAAGAGTAGGACTGGCTGTCATTTACACACATTTGTCCGTGTACTCTTCATTAATTCATTTATTCTGCAAAATGTAATTGTGTGTCTGATCCTGAAAGGTACCAGGTAGCACTGAAAGTCCAATTTCAGGGAAGGGGGCAGTGTTACTTACCAGAACATGTTTTCTAGATGTTAAGTCCCCTTGTTCAAAAGACTCCTGGCAGGATTTTGGTCCATAGGCCTAAATAAAACTGTTCTGCTGGTTTGATGTGTGGAATCCTGTACCGTTTGGCACTAATTGCCTGGTAAAAGGGGTAAAAGGAAGGAGATGCGTTTGGGCTGAGAATTTCACCCTAGTAAGGTATCTCCAGTTAAAAAACCAAAACAAAAAAACTCCCAGGTAACTGACTTAAAACAAGCCCCTCCATTCCAATTCTTGGATGACCAATTGTGGAAGGACAATATATTTCATTGTGAACAAGCAAAATCAGTTCCTCCTCATTGAGAACAGGTCAACAAGGTATAGGCATTTAGCTTTACAAACAGAATTAAGGATTCAGGCTCTTGAAATTCAATCAAGCTCTAAAAGCAACAGACATCTGAAGGCACAAGCGTTAGAAAAGCAAATGGAAATAAACACCCAGTGCTGGAGCATCACATCACAGCATGAGGATTCAAAGCTTTCTGAAGTCTTATCTTAATTAACCAAGCCAGAGACACAATCTCTGGAGGTTGGAAATTGAAAAAAAAGGAGGGAAGGAGGGAGGGGTGGGAAAAAGAGAGAAATATGACTCCAGAACCTTCTCAACTTGTTTTCAAGAAGCTTGCAGTTTCTTGTGCAGCCGGGGAACATGCCGGGGCCCAGAGAGCATGTCCTGTTCAGGGAGGGCAGGAGGGCAGTGCCGCGAGAGGCTTCACTTGTTCTCCACAGAGTGGGGTTTCAGACCTGCAGATGGAGAGGACTTTGATGCTCTGGTTCACCTCCTTCAGTTTATACATGAGGAAACTGAGGCTCAGAGAGGTGTCGTGACCGGCCCAAAGTCATGCAGCTGGTGGGTGCCGGACAGCAGGGACAGAGCCCAGTTCTCCTGACAGTACTGTGCTTTCTGACAGGATCTTGCTGCTCCGTGCTGCCACAAAGCAGCTGGGAGGGGAAGGGGTGGAGCTGGGAGGGAAACAGGCTTAGTCACTGATCAGCAAGAATTCTGAACAGGCCAAATTAATTTTCCTGTTCTCTGAAGATGCTCAAGGTAACAGAAGTAGATTTTAAAATGAGATAAAGAAAGAACTATCAAACAGAGAGCTGATGTAAAGATAAAGGTCAGCTGAGAAGCAGCAACGCTCTATTTTTTAATTAGCTTTTATTTGATAAGTAGTTATGACAAGGCACGAAATTCAAAAGGCACAAAAGCTTACATGCTGAAAAAAAAAAGTCGGCCTCCCTGACGTGACCCCAGTATGCAGTCATCAGAGCCATTGGTCATGGTTTCTTGTAGATCCTTTCAGAGTATGCTGTGTATATGCAGGCACAGACACATGTGTGCACACACGTGCACACACACACACACACACTTTTCCTTTACGAAACAGTAGCATATTAAGCATACTATTCTGCATATACATTGCATTTTTCACTTGACGGTATGTCTTGTGAAGTGCTCCAGGGCTCATCCCTCCCCTAAAACAAGTTCAGCAGCTGTTCCCTAAGGGTAGCCAGAAGCGTCTCACCAATTACCACTCCAAACGACCGCAGTTCCTTTCCCTTTCAGTTTACATATTATCTATGTAGATACTTTTAGAACCTCTAGGTTAGAAGGACTTTAGAGGTCATTTAGTCAAATATCTAAGTGCCTTTTTTTTCAGAAATGCCTTTTGTTGACACAAAAATACATTTCTGAATATATGTGTGTATATATGTATGTACAAATATCCAAGAAGATGTATGTTTACTAGACAAATAGATACAGTACATGTATTCACATGTATTTGTAATACATATGTGTGCATATAGGTTTGTGTTTAGATAGCTCCAATGGTCACTGGTGCTGTGTATGCAGATCCAGAGAAGACTTAGAATTTTGGAACTGGCTATTTGGTAAAACACTGTGATAACCCAGACCTGAAGTCCCTGGCGAATGACTTTCCTGAGCAGAGGAAAAGCTGTGTGCTCCTGGCCGCCCCTGGAGAGAGTCAGGACCCAGGGCGGTGTGCGGAAGCCCTAAAGCACAGCACCAGGGTCTTCAGCTCCAGGGCCTAGAGTCAGGCCCGGGCAGCTCTGCTCACAGAGCACTCATCAGAGCACAGTCCCAGACAGGGGCTTGCAGACCCAGTTTGGATAATGGGAAACACATTATTTTCTTTCAAGTTGAAATTAAATATAATTGGTAATAAAATGTCAGGAATTTGCATCTCTGCAGAAGTCAGAAAAGGTTTCTTGCTTAATTAGAATTGTCTGAGTTGAACTTAGAATTTCATTCAGCCTGTTATTGCTGTAAATTGACTTTACAATTATTCTATAAAGCGGGGGGAAAAGAAACAGTGTGCTTAAGGAATCAGGTTATTAGGAGCTTGGCAGGAGAGTCCCGTGGACCAGCGTGTCGGTGCTGTTTCTGCCAGCTCAGTAATGATATTGATGGGGTGGCAGAAGGGTCTTGTCCAGCACAGTGTGTATACAGCCCGGCATCCCTGACAGCCCGTGGAAAGTGATACCTGTATCGGCTTGCAAGCTGCTCCCTCCACAAAAATCTGTGCTGCAGTTTGGAAATGCGGACCCTTGTAGTAAGATCAGAGGGTGATTAAAAAATGTCTAAAGCATGGTATAGAATACAAAGGGAAAAATGAAGACAGAATTGTGAAATTAAGCCAGCTCCCCGAGGTCACCCAATTTCTTATTTTTTTCCTTTCCTTTCTTCCCTGAGTGATGCTGAAGACTTCCCCGATTACCCCTTCCTGCCCGCCTGCCTGCCTGCCTGCCTTCTTCCTTCCTTCCTTCCCTTCCCTTCCTTCCTTCCTTCTTCCTTTCTTCCTTCTTTCCTTCTTTCTTTCCTTCCTCTCTTCCTCCTTCCTTTTCTTTCTTCTTTGCTCCACACCTCCTTTTACTCTGTCTGTCCTTTCTTTCTTTCTTTCTTCCTACAACTATTTGCTGATTCCACCTCCACGCCAGGCACTGCATCGAGGACATCGGTGTAAACAAACCAGGCACAGCGCTTACCTCCCCACCTGAGTGGCCGTCTAATTGCCCTGGGTCACAGCCTTCTTGCTTCTCTCTCCCCTTCCTCACAACTCCTGCCATAACGAACATGTTTGCACAGTGATGTAAGTGCTTATAATAGATGCAGTCAATCTCTGCATTACAGCTAGATCATAAGTCAGAGAAATGAATGCCCAGTAGTGAAAAGTCCAGATACCTGGGGACTTCAGGAGGAAGGTGGGAAAGGGGAGGTGATTCTTCCAGAGCTCCTAAAAACATACTCAACCAGCCTCTGGGTGGGGCAAGAATGGGAGGGAGGGTAAAACAATCCTGCTCTCACCCTTCAAGATCCGGCTGGAGAAGAAGATCGATTCTAACTCCCTGAAGTCTGGATAGGACAGGGCAGTTTGGTGTCTGGAAAAACTATATAATGACCATCCAGCTTATTCACAGGTGGCATGTGAAGTGGCTGTGGAATGAGCTGGGTCTGGGGGTAGGAAGGAACCCTGGTTTAGTCACGGATTGTCTGTGTAAACTGGAAAGACTTAGCAGACTTCTCTGATGGTCACAGTCTATAAAATGGGGATAAGTTCGCCTCCCAAGTTGGGGATGTGTGATGAGAAACTGAGATCATGGTCCAAAGCACTTGCGTACCATAGGAGCTCTCTGGGCGAAGGCCACGTCCCTCCAGTGCCCTCTGTCCCCAGCGTGGCATAGCCTGCCGGTCTCCAGCATGAGGGGTCCAGGCATCCGGCTTCCACCGGGAGCTTACCGCCTGTATTTGCCTCTCCCAGGGAAGTGTACCGCGTGACGGAGAGTCTACAGCGCGAGAAGGCCGGGCTCCTCAAGCAGCTGGATTTCCTAAGGTGTGTTGGGGGGCACTGGCGTGTGCTGAGAGCACCTCCCAGAAGCCTGGGGTGGGAAGGGCCAGTCTGAGGGTGTCATTCTTGCCTATGTGCTGGAAATACGTGCTGCTCAGAGAGCACCCTCGTTCCCTCGGTCCCCGTCGCAGTGTTTGGACCACTGAGTAGCCACCCCGTTATGTTTGGTCCATTTACACGCACGCCCACATCCCTCTCCAGTTTATTCTTCCTGATGGGGAGGCTCTACCTCACTCTTCTGAGCCCCTCCCAGGACCGTGCTTGGTATGTCCTCACATGGGAGCGGAGCTGGGTTTACTGAGCCTCCAATCTATGCCAGGAATGTTATCTCTTTCATCTCAGTAAAGCTGTTAGGTAAGTAGGGCGCTTAATTCACAGGAATTAACTGATGGGGAAGTTGGTACCAGAGGAATGAAGTAATTTACCTCAAGTGAGGCAGCTACTCACTGACAGAGCCAGAATGGAAATCCGTAACTTGGCTACGTTCTGTTCATGTTTGTGCAATGAGTACGTGAATTGCAAACAGAGCACCAAGAAAAAGCTTTCTCAGCCTTCGAAGACCCCCAGCGATACATTCCAGGTTTACTGGTCTGGAATGTGCACCACCCTCCCCTCCTCAAAGAAGCCAACCTGAGTGGGGAAGGCTGGAATGTTCGATGCTGCCCATGGTCACTGCCTGCTGAGCACCTCTCGGTGAGGACACGGGACTTTGGGTTCTGATTTCTGAAGTGCAAGCGGTTTTGAATCACTTCCCAGTTATGTTGCGAAGGTTTTTGTTTTTGTGGGAGCAAGGGTGGCTCATTGTGTCTGGCATCTATGATGCTACCCGGCGGAAAAGTGCTTCAACCTGAATGCATTTCCGATTGCGCTTGGTACGTGATTCCATCAGGCCTCAAGAGCCAGGGGACATGCAAAGGTGTTTTTGGGTGGTCAAGTTAGAATCCATTTGTGAGAAGGTCTTGATTCTTAGGAAAGCTTTAATAAAAGGACGAGAACAAAATGTATAAGGACAAGTTTTGGAGTCTTTTTTTTTTTCTATTGCATTCAGAAAATATAAAAGGGTATATTCAAAGAGAATGAGCAGGGGAGAATGACAGCTCTCTACAAATACTTGGGGGTCTTTTTAATGGACTACCATTTGTGCAGAGTCACAGAAGGCCTGAGGCCTTTCTGTGCCATCGATCCAGGGTTACCAAGCTTAAGCCCCACTGGCTAATGAAAGCTGAGAGGTGGAGCGAAGGCCCAGGAAACCACCAGGATTCAAGGGAGAGGGAATGCTGAGATGGGGCTGGGGGACAGCGGGAATGTGGAGGGAGGGCAGTGGTGGGATGGTGGTGGGATCAGGGCAACAGCTGGGGTGTGACGGGTGAGGAGGGCTGCCATCTGAAAGACTATGGGTGCAAAGGCGAGCGATTTCAGGGCACGTGATTAGGAACATGCCCTTTGAAGCTGGATCTGATTCAAGACCCAGCACTTCCTCTCATTAGCTTGTGTGACCTTGGGCAAGTGACTTAAGCAGTCCGAGTCTTCATTTTCTCATGCCTAGCTCACAGGCTGCTTTTGACAATTAGCTGATGTACGTGAATAGGAATCACAGCAGAGCAGCGATGGGAACCCAAGCAGATACATTTCTTTAAATACTGAGGCTTCTGTACGGAGAGGGCCACGAAAAGTGGCAAACAACGCAGCATGCTTTCCAAAAATAAGGCGGGACTTTCCAGGTCTCCCAGGGTCCTCGCTCAGGTGCAGGGCTGCTGAGTCACAGCTCCACGAGGAGTGAGTGTCCCTGTGGCATGAGCAGCTCACTCTGCCATTCTCGGGGCTTATAAAATAAGCTCCATGTCCCTCCTGACTTGCTCTGGAGGCCCTGGCTGCGTGCCTGCCTGCTCCCCTCATGGAGGTAACTGAAAACAATGCAGGCACGTTCCTACTGTTTTCTGCAAGACTGGGGGAATTGGAAGTCAGTTGCCCAGCTTGCGACGCCTCAGGCCCCACCCAAACTCTCTCTCTGTAGTCTTCAACACACTTAGCAGAGCGCCTGGCCCACAGTCAGTGCCCCGTAAATGGCTGCATTGTGATGATTAGGACCTAACTGTGGCTGTGCCCTCCCTTCCCCTTCAAAAGCGTGGGTTTGTTCCGAGGCCGCTGGCCGGAAGAGTCGTGGAATCACAAACCTGCTAAGGACTTGGAGAGCATCTGGCCCTCCCTCTCCACGTCCTGTGTTAATGGATGAAATTCCCAGCTGTGAACCTCAAGTGCGTTCCACAGTCGCACTGCAGACCCAGTCAACTCACTGTCCCAACTGCTCCTACTTTAAGTCCTGGAAAAAAGACTCCTCTTTTGCCACCCTCACGCTTGCTCCTGTTTCACAGCGGGAACCATTAGATAAGAGCTTCCTCCTGTGCCCACGTCTCTGCCTTCTCTTTGTGCTGGATGCACTCCCCCTGCTCATCAGCGGCCACCCCCACCCGCGTGCCCAACTCACCCTCTAGAACGAGAGCCTGTCCCTTCCTGCCCCCTCAAGGACTATTCCAGCCCGTGTTCTCTCACTCCTTCATTGTCGTTTTACCTCTTTTGAAGATACTTACAAATAGACTCGAATATTTCTTGTCTGACATGTCTTGTCTTCGCATCCCCATCCAGCTGCTTGCCATTTCTTCAATCCCTTTACAACAAAAGTTTCAGAAGAGTTGTTCGCATACACTCTCTCCACTCCTTCTCTCCTTTTCTTCACGTTCTCAACCCAACAATCAGGACTTCCCTACTCCCACCTCCAAAGAAACAGTTCTTGCCCAGGTTGCCAATGACCTCCATGCCGCTAAAAATATTCATCAAGAGTCAGGGCCTCACCCTGGCCCCCAGCAGCCTATTAGCACCGCATCCAGAGGGATCCTTTGAAAACTGGAGCCAGGTTGGGACGCTCCTTTGCCATCTGCTTCACCCCCACCCACCCCTCGCCCCTTGGCTTCATATCTCATTTAGAGTAAAAATCGAAGTTCTTGGCTGAGCATGGTGGCTCAAGCCTGGAATCCAAGCACTTTGCAGGCCAAGGTGGGCGGATCACCTGAGGTCGGGAGTTCAAGACCAGCCTGACCAACATGGTGAAACCCTGTCTTTAAAAAAAAAAAAAAAAAAAAAAAATCGAAGTTCATGCAGTGGCCCACAGGGCTGTGAAGAGACAGGTCCCAACCATCATCTGCTTTTTCTCTGGCTTCATCTCCTAACTACTCTCCCTTCGGGCACTCTGCTTCCTCCATTCTGTTTCTTGCTCACACCAGGCACATCCCAGCACAAGGCTTTCCCCTAGCCTCTCCTCTGCCTGGAATGCTTCTCCCTTTCCTTCAAGGCTCTGCCCAAATGCTGTCTTATCAGTGAGGCACCGACCTCTGTAGTTGAAATACAACTCCACACTCTGGCTTCTTTTATTCCACTTTCCTGCTTTATTTACTCAATAACAATTATCCCTTCACTAAAATACATGTTCTGTGAGGCAGGAACTTTTGTGTTGGTCACTGGTGTGACCTTGATGGTTAAAAGAGTGCCTGGCATGCAGTGGGTGCTCAGGAGACATTTGAGTGAATCCACGCATGCATGAATAAATGGTGCACAGAGAGAAAGAAAAAGGGAGTCCAACAGGAAGCTCCCAGGCAGAGCTGGAATGCTGGTGTTGCCCTCTGTAGGTGGTGCCCCTAATAACAGGAGAGGCCATGCATAATCCTGATGGGCCACGGGTGTCTCAGTCTATCCCTGCATCTGAGTGTACCTATCTGTACACACAAACTATCCCCTACCATTAATCACATCTCCAAGGAAGGAGATTCCACCAACTCCCTGGTCTTCCACACCATACCTTCCCCTGCATCCATCTGACTAGTGAATTGGCTGCCATCAGAACTGTCAACTACAAACTCCATGTTTAAACAGATTCCCCTTTACCATCCACAGGGAAAGGAACAAGCACCTTCGGGATGAACGGGACATACATTTTCAGGTAACTGGCCAGTTCTCCCTTACCTGTGGGGGACCGAGGGCTGTGGTCCACGGGACAGCCCAGCGATGTCCTGACACTTGGGATCTACTTGGCAGGATGATGGCATAAAAATGTTTGCAAATAATAAAAATTCAGGGTGGCCTACTGGGTAACAGTGTGTTAATTTTCCGCAAAGTAATGCAGTTTCCTCTTGGCACAACAAGACTAAAATATTTGGGAGGGTCGTATATTTCTTGGATGCAGAAATGATAGTTCTACCCATGAGATGGCG